CCAGATTTCAGCAAGTGGGTATGAATCTGATTTGCTTCTAGTTTTGAGCTCGCTGAATTAAAACCTGAGGAGGAGGAAGAAGTGCAGGATTTAATGAGCAGAGAGAAAGTGAGATCATTGGGCTTCAAATTGTACTCAAACAACTGGCGAAAAAGAAGCAGTGCCTGTTTAGGATTTTTGCTTTCGCTGTGAGATTTTAGGAGATAGTGGAAATAGGGAAGGTTGGGCTTCGCAGAGAGGCCGATAGAACAGGCCAAGTTCATACTCAAGTTTGACGCCAAAGTTTTTAGAGTGTGCAGCTCTGTTTTTCGGGTTTTTGTGGTGGAGGGCAGAGCCGAAAACTGCACCGCACAGTGTGCAGCTGCTTTATAATTGAGTGATAAAAAGGCAAGGAGATGGCGTTGTACCGCATTTTTGCTCACCACCATAAACTATGGTGTATGCTCACCATACACCTAATCAATTGACACATATCATTTCACTTAATCTTGGTTAATTTTTTTCAAAATTGAAAAACTAACATTTAATGTGAAAGTTAACTAGAGTTAAGTGAAATGACACGTGTCAATTGATTAGGTGTATGGTGAGCATACACCATAGTTTATGGTGGTGAGCAAAAATGCACTCACATATCTTAACGTGGATTTTATTCTCATCGATTTTTCTCTCTCCTAACAACTAGATATTTAATCCACTGACACCATCGTTCTATTAAAAAAAGGACAATTTTTTTTATCAAAATAAAATGACAAGCTTAACATTTCAAGTGAATCTAGTTCATTAGTAAAAAGCTAATACCGTAGTTTGAAAACTCTCTGCTCTCCTTCACCCAATTTCGAATCTCCCTTCTCGTAGTATGAATATAACTAATTATAATATCGTTTAGGAGGAATAAACTAGTTTAAATGTCCCAAGTTCAAATGTTCCATTTCTGGACGAGCTAACTAGAACCGACGATCTATCAACATAATTGTTTGAACTACGAGCTGGGGTTTATAACTCAATTGGCTAAGAACGTTTATACATCATTTTAACAATCTTTTTCGAGTTCAGTTTCTCCCCCACACAGCAAAGTCGTCCCCACTGCTGGCAACATGGAAGTTTGAGTTTGTGGGATCAAGGTCTCCGAGGTCCAACCTTGGCCCAATCTTCATTACCATCTTGTCGTCGATGTTTGTTGGCCATATATAGGTCACCCTCGGCAGCTAAGATAGTCACACTGCTCTTGGAATTGATCCCATTCCTTGCCCTAATTGCTGTCAAATTGCGTATAGGGTCCTTCGGCCACCCCCACTCAAAGAAGTGATCATAGAACTGCAACACCGAAAACAAAGTAGTTTAGAAGTCGAAATATGTATGCGAATGTTCTCTTACCAGATTTATATTACTATGCAAAGAATTAATGTTATTAAACTGTGAATCTGTCTCACATAATCAAGAAAAAATAAGATTAATATTGATCCAAGTTGACTTATTGGTAATGTAATTATAAACTACTTGCGCTAGCCATTAGAAAGCATGACAAAAGAACATTTCCCAATTCAATAAGACGACACATGTTTTATGTTACTTGATGAGTATTTATGTTGTCAAACTGTGAATTTGAATCACAAATTTATGAAGAAGTCAATATAAATGGTGATCCGAATTTTATTCTGCAACATAAACTAGTGTGGTTAGATAGTTGACAAAAGAACATTTTCCAGTAAATCGATGTTTAGTACTTACTATGCTTGGGGTGCCAGGATGGGTGAGAGTGTAAGCATATCCAAGCAGGACTTTATCAGATGGGAAAGGCAATAGTTTTGAGACCAAGTGTCATGATTGTCGATAAATGTCACAGCACTTTCTGGCTTGATGCCGATCAACCCTGGTGGTTTGCCATTTGAATCCTTTAGCCTCCATAGCTCACCCTCTACAGCAACATCCATAAAATATTTGGTTGTCATATCAAACGTCGTGACAACACCCCCACTACCTGAATCCAACTAACTATTTCATTCCTAATTTCCTATGTGCATCTTGGTTCTGATCTAGTTTGCCGTCCTGCCCCTTCGAAATGTTCCAACGCCAGTACTCGGCAACTGCGAATGCCGGCAAAGTTCTGTCCATGTAGAGATTGGTTAAGCTAGAGCCGTACCCAATCGCATAATCAAACCTCCATCCATCAAACCCTATTTCAGTTTTCAACCAAATCATCCAATCAGACAACTCGCTTTGAAGCTAGGGTTTGTGTGGTCCATGTCAGCTGTGAACGGGAAGTTGTCTACTGTGTCCGGGTTGCCAGTGCCAAAAGGGTGGTCATTGTCATCCCGGCAAATCAAGGAGGCATCGAAGTCAAGACGTCCATCCGGCTTTCCACCTTCGAATATTCTCCATAGTCCGTTCTCATCTTGTTTGACAGCTGCTCTGTGGTTTATCACAATGTCTGCTATGGCTTTGATTCCCTTCTCATGCATGGCAGTAAATAGGGACTTCAATTCATCCTTATTTCCATAGCTCGATGCATCGAGATAGTATAGCCTTCCGGGTAGAATCCTGAAATGTTTGAGTAATAGTAACGAATTATTATCTTGCCAGAATGTGCAATCCAGATTCAGTCTAGCGAGAGAACATTATTGATTACTTGGGATTATTAAACAAATAAGTGCGATTATACAGAGATAGTGATAGGCTAGTAGCTAGTAAATACCCTCGGTTCCATTAGCGTGAGGAGGAGGAAGCCAGACATGGGTGATGCCAGAGTCAGCAAGTTCAAGAATGGAGGTCTTGAGTGAGTTGTACCACCCTCCTTTTTTACTTGAATGCCAATTGAACCCCTGTATCATATTCAAAGACCTCTAAATTCAAAATACGCATTCATAACAGGCTAAAAGTAATCTGTAAAAGAGAAGTGCATATGGCGTAGTTACCTAAAACAACACAGCGGGGGTTCCAAAGGAGGGCAAGAGAGAAATGCAGAGGCAAAAGCAGAAGGAAATGATGAAGTTCATGGTGCCTTTAGTTATCTCGTGGAGTTGACTTTCCCAAAAGTCGCACATTTTATAATTAAACAGCCAAGACTAGTGGAGATTGAAACTCCAGAGAGTCAACCAGTTTGAACAACAAGATATACAGAAGAAAATTCAAAGTATCATGATGTGTGTGTTAGGCTAGAAAAGGGCTGACTCGTCCAAATGCGATCAGTTTTTCGAAAGGTTAGGCAACATTCATGAAATCAATTCACAATCATATACTCTCAACATCCTTGAACCAAGACCTTTTTTTCTTCTTGGACAAGCGCATGTTGGTCTATGTGAGAGATAGAGTGAAGGCGATCAATGACCGATTACACCCAAGATTTAGCCTCATCGGGTTCTGCCCCAGCCAACATCATAACAATGAATTGTTTCACTTACTGATTTTGGTTGAAAACTGCTACTCTCTTTCTTTTTTCATTGTCAGAGTGTCAGTTGTGAGGCAATTTCGGCACACCCCCAGTTTATTTTCTGCCAGTTATATTGGATACATAAAAGGAACACCAAATGACAGAAATAAACATGGATATGTACAAGGTGAAAAGGGTGCACGGAGGTCATTTCCCTTTCAGTTTATCATTGATTTGCCTGATTTTCCCTGTTTTGCAGCCAAATCAAACCCATGAAGCCACCCAACTCCCAAATATCCAAAGACTACAGATAGCAATTTGCAAGAAAACACAAGAAAAATAAAACAAATATTATTTAAAAAAACCTCAGAGTCATATTTTAATCTGCAGCTTATTGCATTAAGTACGAAATGATTCACATACCAAAGAGTACAAGCTTTCATCTAATTGACTTCTAGTTTCTCTTTAGTGGAAAGCTAAAATTCCCATCAGTTTCAAAGTTTCCTAGTATTTGAGAAATTCATTTGAAGCAATCAAAAGATAATTAGGCCTAAAATCTGAAATCTCACATCTTGGAAGGCTTGGGGAAAATGTCAGGTGTGAATTTTGTGGCCGCACTCAAGCTACCCTTGATCTTCATTGCCCCCCCTCATGAAAGCGATTTGCGGGTTCATCTTCCCTAGCGCCACCTTCACGAAATCATCATCCTTGAACGAAAAAGTTGCATCTGGCTTCCCTCCTTCATATGCCCCTGTAATTTCAGCTCAGATTTTCAGGAAAAGCTCTCATCTTTCATACATTAAACAGAATTATTAAGGGCCCGTTTGGAATTGCTTCTCTACACCACTTCCGCTCATAAGCACTTCTGCTAGATGAACTTTTAAAAATTGAAGTGCTTTCTGGAAAATCACTTAAAAGTGCTTCCCAGAAGGGCTTCTTCAAAAAGCACTTACATATGAGCCAAATACATTTCTTTTATTTTTTTCGGCCAAAGGCAATCAAAAGCACTTTCTTCTAGGTGCTTCTTCGGACAGTCCCTTTCATATATGCCAAAATCGCTTTTAAATTTTTCTGCCAAACGCAATAAAAAAAAAAAAAAACTTTTGACCATCACAAAACGCTTTTAACCACAAACAATCTCAACAGGCCCTAAATTGATTAATTAATTAGGATTAAGAGCGAACCAAAATCAGAAACCAGAAACCAACCTTTCTTGACCTCGCCTTTCTTAAGATCAACAATAAAAATCACCTCATTGAATCCAATTTTCTGCGATTTCAACTCAGGAAGTCAAGGAAAAATTGGGAATTTATCAGATTTAGAGAATTTGAGGAAGGTCGGCGAGTGGTGGAGCCTACCTTGGGTGCGATGTTGATCTGATAGACGAGTCCGATTTTCTTGGTAATTTCTTTGCCGGCGTCGGTTTTCAGGTGCTCTTTCATCAGCTCCAGCAAGCTCTCCGACTTCAGCTCTGCACCGCTCGCCATTGCTTCTCTCTCTTCAACTCTGCAAGTATCGAGATGAAATGGGTCTCGCAACTACGTCGTTTTTATCGTTCAATTTCTGAGAGACTGGTGAGTTTGGTTGGAGAATTGTCGTATAAGATCACGCGCGAACTAACCGATCTTGAAGAGATCAGATGACGGACAAGGCACGCATTCCCATAACTTTATTTTCTGCTTGTTTTTATCTTTCGATTGGGCTGGCATCATAAATTTGAATTTTTCTGGGACCTTGCTTCGAAATCAATAACTATTGAAAAACAAAAGATAAACATATTTTGAATGAAGCAATAATATGTCATACATAATATTAAAACCCATATGAATAAAATCCAAAAGGACACATCATATATAAACCTTTGGCTCTGATACCACTTGAAGGGAAATCTATGAGATTCATGTGGGATTTCTAATGACTAGCATGCATATACAATTCAAAATTTATATACGAAAGCAACGGAAGCATGTTATCAAATAATATCAAAGCTATAGTCATGCAAATCCCCTTCAAGGTTCATAGGTTCATATATGATACATCAAAACATTTAAGTAAAGAACAAAGTTTAGGAATACATCTATACCTCTTGATCTAGATTTTAGACCAAGGATGGACCACCTCCAAGCCCTTTGTTCCTTGAACTCCTTGAGCCTAGCCTCTCTCCTTGCCTCCTCCACTTTGTTAGTATGAGTGCTCCTTTGGTTCTCCTTTAGTCTCCAAAGTAGAAGACCTCTAAAGATCCACACCCACTAGTGTAGTGAGATGGATGGAGGAATGACCAAAAGGGTGAAAAGATGATAAGCTAAAATCACCCTTAAGGTGGCCGGCCTTTGGTGTTGAAGAGAGAGTAATTTTCTTTTTCTCTCTAGTGTAGTGTGATTATTCCTTCTTGTATGATTCAATTGAGTCGTATAGGAACGCTTTCCTTTATTACGCTCGATACTTCGGCCGAAGATTCCAGAATCATATCTTAGAGTATTCTTCCTCTCTTAACGAAGATTAGAGATTCCTTGTTGCGCATTCACTTGCCTTCATGACTAAGTGGCTTAACCCCAACTATGCCGTGGACACCCGCGAATGGGGTGACTTTGACATAATCAAAGATCAAGTACTTAACCACAAGACAACGACGATGCCTCAGGTCAAATGACTACTTACATTATTCCAACCATGAGAGTTACTTGCTTGACATGTGAGTAGACCTCCATGCAAGTACTCTTGTTCGATTGTATTCAGTGAACTCATTCCCTTAATGAGCACCTACATACTTGTCTTAGTGTCACTACACGAATGGGATGAGACTTTCCATCCTTTCAGTTGAAGCAGACATAGTATGTACCGGTCTATGCATTGTCAGTTTCCCTCTGACAATCCTATGACCAGGAACTTTTTGGACATGATGATTATGTGAAGAAGGTCTCTGTAGTCTAACATCATTAGATTACTTCTTCAATCGATCCATTGTCCATGGATTCACTATTTAGGACATATATCGTTCATTGAGATAGTCCTAATTAGTATCTTTTCCATTTGATGTATAAGAGTCATCTATACATCCATTCATTTGTCCTGAAAGGTTTCTTCCAAAGATTGACTTTCAGGGCATATTTCCAACACTTTCTACTTCACAAGAGATCTTCGACAGATTGCCCATAAATTCTGCAAGGCTGAGTATGCATGTGATAGGCACTGACACGTCTGGAAAAGCAAGTGCCTCTTCGATATCTGGAATCGGCGCTTCGATAAACTGCCCGTGATTTTCGCAAAGCTGAGTCTACATGTGATAGATACTGACATGTCTGGAAAATAGATGCCTCTCCGATTTCTGAGCTTGCCTTTTCGAGTTCTGAGCTCGCCTCTTCGATCTCTGAAATCCCGTCGAGTGCAGAGGTTGCATGTGACAAGTGCAGACAAATATGGAAAAGAAGATTGGCCCGTGGTTTCTAAGCAAGCCCAGCTTTTGAGAAAGCTAGCGCCTCTTTGATTTCTGAGCTCGCCTCTTCGATCTCTGAAATCCCGTCGAGTGCTGATTTTTATAGAGGTACGCAGGACGTTCAAAGCACACGTGAATTTCTGCCTGTAAAAATTCCCTTCTTGCACTTCTACGATCTTGACTTATCCAACCTCTTCTTTCGTTAACACCTTTGAAAATGTCTGGCCCTTCTGACCGTCGTTTTGACTTGAACCTTGGTGAAGAGGCAGTCCCGCCTTCTCCAGACAACATATGGCGCCCATCCTTCATATGCCCTACTGGTCCCTTTACCGTTGGGGATTCGGTGATGAAGAATGATATAACAACTGCGGTGGTGGCCAGAAACCTTGTCACTCCTAAAGATAACAAACTACTTGCCAAACGGTCTGATGAGTTGGCTATTAAGGATTATCTGGCTCTCAGTGTGCAGTGTGCAGGTTCTGTGTCTAATATGGCCCAACGCCTATTTGCTTGAACCCGTCAAGTTGAATCGTTGGCGGCTGAAGTGATGAGTCTCAAACAGGAGATTAGAGGGCTCAAGCATGAGAATAAACAGTTGCACAAGCTTGCATATAACTATGCTACAAACAGAAAGAAGAAGATTGACCAGATGCAGGAATCTGATGGTCAGATTTTACTTGATCATCAGAGGTACAACATTTGCCTTCGTCTTCTGGGGCTGTACCGCGTAATGAAGCTCCAAATGATCAACCTCCGATGCCTCCTCCTTTTGGGGCTCCGCCGACTACTGAGGCTCCACCGACTACTGAGACTTCGCCTAAGCAGCCTTTGTGAAGGCTCTCTCTTGTATTTTTCTGCTTAATGTTCCTTTTTTTTCATGAAAATGAATGTAAAAATACCTTGCATATTTGTCAGTGTTTCAAAAATAAACCCACATAAAAAACAATTAAACAAGCAACAAATAAAAATGATAATCATGGCAAAATAAAACTGTAGAAAAGGGAAGGTTTTTAGAAACGCAAAACTGCTTGTGCAGCGATTCAAAAAATTCCTTATTTGAATACATGGGTTGCCTCCCAAGAAGCGCTTGCTTTAACGTTTTTCAGCCGAACTAAACTTCCTTCTAAACTTGGATAGGGCCCATAGCACGGAATTGATCCTTGAATGGATGGTGATACTTGACATGATCCGGCAATGGTTTAAATTCTAGTGTAGGTGCTTGAATCATCAAAATCAGCAAGTTAGTATATAATAAAATTGAAGTTGGAGAAGATGGTTTACTTGCTTGCTCCAACACAAACTTAATTACGAAAACCACATCTTTGAAGGTTACAGGGATATGGGACTTGCCCAGATTTGGTGTTTTGAGAGTTATGACTTGTCCCGTGTCATAAAATCCAACTTATTTGGGAATTTTTGTCTCAAGTGTATCTTCTTTGATGAATTCTAGACTTTCCCCATTCACTTCTTGGTCTTGATGCTTTGGAAAGGTTTTGAAGATGCCTTTCTCACCCGCTTCTTCCTTGGATTGCATGATCCTGCAAGGAATAAGGACATTTGGTGAAACGGGGTCAGGACAAATTGAATTTAGGCTTACCTTGGTTGTAGTGGACGGTATATAGGGCATA